TTTGATACTGTAATCAAACATGGTTTTCGACCAATCACAGCGCGCGTAGTATCCTAAATATTTTAGAAAAGCAAGTAATAATAGTAATATTAAACTATTTGCCTATTATGCAACAATTAATACCAAAAAATGAATGAATGCAAACGCCCACGTTCACGTACTCGTTCTCAGACACTTGTACTTTGGGGTATGCCACCCACATATAAAAGCACTGAATTTTACTAGATACTTTTCTTGGCTAGTTGCATAGCTTATCTTCCTATCTGGCGGAGGGATGTCGGTAGTGGAATCTAATCTCCCTATATACGGTTCTGCCTGATACACAATTTTGGTACACCATTTAATTTGAGGCATGACAGGAGTTGTCCAGTAATAGCCCCTAAAAATCTTCCTGAAGCCGTTTTTATGCATTTCTTATGTGTGTTTTTTTATAAACTTGAAAAAGTGCGCAAACCGTACAATCCCATCATGCTTTGAAGTACAAAATGGCGTCGGTGCTAGGATATTTTAATTCCCGTTAATTACAGACAACAAGTGAATGTTGCTATGCCCAATTCTCGTGATCAATACGTCTCTATGGTAAACTGACAGTTATGAACAGCCACTTTATCTTCTTAAGTATACAAGTAAGCAAAGTTACTCAAAACTTGTATTTTGTAATTGATAGAGAAAGAAACTTTCAGCTGTGAGCTCGCAGTCCCTTTTATCATTGCGGTATAAACTGCAGTGACTTTGAGTTTCCGTGTTTGTGAAGTATACATTCCTTCCCTAAAAGGAAAAAAACAAGCCATGTTTACAGCGAGAAACGTTTCTATTATCGTGGTATATATCGTCATTGGAAAACTATTGGAAACATCGTACGGTAGGTTAGTCGTAATAACGTTCAGGGAACTGAAAGCTTTCAACAAAACGTACATTCAATGCCAGCTGAGTATGTGCCACGATCAGTTTGCCTTTAAAAAATATATCATAATTTCACATTCAATAGTACAATCAGCCCTAACACAATTAGAATTAATAGAGAAGACCAGCGCGCGATATAGAATATACTCAAAAGTGAGATAAAAAAACCTCGTCGTCCAGGTTAGGAACCTTAGATTCTCTTTTGAGTCAATTTACTTAACTATCACACTTATGTATAGTGTAGTACAGCGCCGTAGCCAGAGGAAAATGTTAACCGAGGCACTTAATGCGACCGGCGGAAGCGGTCGTATCTAGGGGGTTCGCGGGCATGCTTCCCCGAAACATTTTGAAATTCAGACACCCGTAAACGAGATTTTTAAGCGTTTTGCCAAGCATATTGTGACTTTTTTATCTTACACCATTGATCGAACTTTTTTATTTTGGATACGAATTAAAAAACTCGATAAGTGCCTCGGTTGCCTGACGGTAGCTACGGCGCTGTAGTACAATGCTGTAGTAGGGATATCTCGTTTGTTTTTGTTTCATAAAACAAGCCGGAGTTAGCCCTACGATACACCTAGCGGCACCCTACCTCAGTGTAAACAGGGTCTTCTCACAACGGGGGAAATCTGATCAAAGTGACTGTCGATCAAAGTTGTTTAGGGAAACACTATATGTTATTTATTATTACATCAACTGGCAAAACATTATATCGATGTTATTACCTAGGGTTAGGTGCCACGCCATTCGAGTCTTGATCTTTACTTGACGAGTCAACCCCTCAATTTGGTAGGAGCTTGTGTCGACATATTTACCGTAACATCGACTGTACGTTGAACTGTTTTACGGGTTTAATTATATCGCTCTGCATGAGGCCATGAAATATCTAATGTCTTTAAAAACATGAATAGTAAAACCACAATGTTCTCACTAAACAAATTAAGTCTCATTCTTTTCTAAATTGAACTATAGCTGACAACTTCTTATTTTGGTAAAAGTTCACGATACCGTTTTTAGTGTGTGTATTTTCACCCTATTTCTTCATCTCTGATATAAACTGAATGCAGAAGGTGAGACAAGAAATGGGACTATACCGTCAAACGAATTTTTAAATACCCACTGCCAGGGACAGGAACGAGAAAAACATAACATAAGACGTCTTTTTGCGTTAGATTCTTTCTTATTTTATTAAAACGTTGTATGGCCAATACTATTGATGATCATCACTATCATCGTGCGAAAGCACGTTTCAATTAAAACTAAAAGTCTATGAAAATCCGATCTATATAGGTCAATTTATACGACAGATTTCTCGTTCAGGACAAAAAATCAGAATATCTTCAAAGACTTTTTTACTTTTATTTTTCTTAGCATCATACGTAAGACACCATGGCAACCAACGCCTACTTTACCGAGAATATAGTGAAGAGAAATTCATGATCTAGCGCACGACTTCTGTACGATTAAAAACCCCTGCGCGCAAGAAAATAAAGAACAAAATCTATCGTACTTCCCTTTTATTCCACTACGGAAAGTTTAGAATCCGAAGATTTTTATACGGGCACAAACAAATTCCCGCTCCGCGGTCCCTGATATAGTAAGAAGCAGCGCGTTTTCCAACACTTCTACTCTCGAGATTGTTGATTTAGTAATTTATTGAACAATAATTCCAGTAAACCATTACACTGACGCATCTTGTATAGAGTGATTCCACGACGACCGYAAAAAGAAAATGTGAAATCTTCGATTGTGATATGTTCAAGATCTTTGCCACACTCTCTTAGTGAGTTTGAAAGAAGAGAAAGACAAAACACCTTTAAAATACTAGTTGATGAATCGCAAGGGAAAATAATATTATGAATTTTCAAATATTTCAAAATACGGTAGGACACTTGTGGACGAGACTCATACGAAAAATTGCGGTTACAAAAAATGTCCATTATTGCCTCGACGGGGGCCTTAAACTGTTTGCTATTTGTTTCAGGAAAGAACGATGCCAAAGACCAGGTCCAAATTACTGCAGAATCTTTAACTGATGGAATCCTTACCTATGCAAAATTGAAAAAAGGTGGGAAATTAAAGAAAATTTCATGATAATTAGAATGATTACTACTAAATAGTTGTACTCGGTCGATTCTCTTTTAGGTTCTWCTTTACCAGCTCGTATTGACCTCACTTTGATCCTGGACAGTTCGTTTGCAGTAGGTCGGGGCCAGCTGAACTTAAAGTCAATCCAAACATTTGCTCGACGACTAGTTGCCGAGTTTAGTATTTCTCCGTCTACAACACGAGTCGGTGTTATCTTGTGCTCATCCTATCCTTACGTACAATTTGGGCTTGACTCGTTTGTTAATAGGGAATGTACGTTGAAAGCTTTGAAGAGGAACAGGTATGATCAGTTTGAAATAATATTCCAAAAAATAAATTTGCAAACCTAATTTCTCCCAATTTATCCTGATTTGACTTCAATTAGGCAAGCCTCAATTGTTTCCAGCCCCGCAAAAAATCAAGCAGTGCTTTTAGTTCAAGCCCAGTGAATTTTATGTGATGAAATAACTTGAGAGATAAAAGACTGACCGACTTGTTTGATCTTACAAGGTATCCCAGAGGATCTCATTGCTCAATAGCAAGCGCTCTGGACTTGACAAGGAGAGTATTCTTCAACAAAAACTATGAAAATGCCAAGCAATTGGTTTTCATGATAATGGATGGACGTGGTCACAGAGTTGTCTCTCGAGCGTCGGCAGCTGTRAAGGCCATCAAGAACAAACAAGCTGAGATCTTTTTGCTGTGGRTTGGGAAGAATGGTACAAWAKATGACAGTGAGATTGCAAGCAAGCCTTTGAAACTTCATAGTTTGCATGTGAGAAATTACACGGACTTGCTGAAGTTATCGCATTTGATCAGAGATAAAGGTATGTGTCCAAGTCTACTGCGCTTCTGTAGAGTTCTCCTTTCCACTGAGGACTGGGAACAATGCAGAGAGGTTCAAAAACAGTCAGTACCAATGCGAGGCGAGATTTGCATTCTAACAATAAAATCTTTCATTGTCTGCCTTGTGTTAGGTTTAGATAGATCGTGCAAGAAGGGAACATTTGTTTACGATGAGTGTAATCGCCGTTGCCAGTGCTCCTCTGACGGACGAATGGTAAACTGCCATCGCGTACGGAAAGACTTTCCATCAATGTCTTTAGAAGAACGTCGACTATACATCCACGCCCTTAAGACTGTTTCCACTGTCCAACCGTACAAGAAAATATATGATGAAATGACAAGCTACCACCCAAGATGGTTTGATGTGGTCCACCAACTCAAATACTTCTTTCCATGGCATCGCTGGTATATCTTAAAATTTGAAAACTTTCTTCGTCGAATAGACTGTCGGGTAACTGTGCCTTATTGGGACTGGTCACGAKCAGTAAGCAAAGGATCACTATGGAGAGCTTCCCACATCCGGGATGTGTGGCATCCGGGTCCTCATGGTCTCGGAGGGAATGGCGGCGGAAAGTATAACTGTGTCTTGAATGGCCCGTTTTCGAGCAAGAATTGGTTTGTTTGCTTTATCCTGAAAGGTAAAGAGGAATTCTGCCTGTCAAGAGCATTCAACTCGTGCTTCTCAAGACGACTACCTGGAAAGAAAAAAGTCCAAAAATTGCTAAAGACGCCATATAAAAATTTCTTCCACTTTGAGAAGATCGTGCGATCATACATGCACAATGATTTCCACAATGCTATAGGTGGGGTCATGTCGTATGACGAATCGGCTAATGCACCAGAGTTCTGGTTTCATCACGGCTACCTGGACAAACTGTGGGGTGACTGGCAAAAACGTGGCTATAGTTTTAAACATCAGTATTTCCACGGGGTTAWTACAGACTTGCCGGGMGCCAATGTAAGCGGTTCTCTGTTTATAGACTTRTCCAATCAACCAATGTGCGTTAAAGTTATTCAAGAAAACCCCATTGATTTAAAAGAAAAACGAGAAGAGTTTGACCAAAGTATAGAAGATCCAGAACCTATAAAGAAATGTCACCATAGCACGGCAAAAACAGATGAATAATAATACAAAAATTAATAAACATATAATAAAGATTAATTACGGTTAGCAATGGACTGGAATTAGTAAACAGTTTTTGGATTGGTAGCCAAACGTGCAAGTCCGGCCTCGATCAATTATGATTCGCGGTCTAAATAATCACTTTTTCTCATCGTGTTTAAATTGGCTTTATTGATTTTACAAGTGTATATGATTTATTTGTTTGACTAGTTCACGGGTCTTGTTAGCACGATAAAAGATGTTCCAAACATCACACTAAACCGACGGCCTTACAACTTTTCCCTAATATAATGCTTTCAAGACGATTTTTCATAAATATTTTGCCTTTTTAAAAACAATTTTGTGTACCATTTTCTCCTGAGTTCTGATTTTTCATTCTTTTTTATCATCACCTGAAATTAAAACCAAAACTAAAGTCACTTTGATTGTGGGTATTATCATTATAAAACCGACTCTATAAAACCAAATAAATGATTACAACAAAATAAGCTCGAAGAACTTGCGGTCTGATTGGCTAAGATGAGCGCCTTATAGATGATTACGTAGTTTACAAAAGCGCGCGCTTTTAAACGCGACGACTCCCCACTGCCACAATGCTATCAAAAGGTAATTGCGCATGTTTTAGTAGCTTTTATGATTGGCTAAGATGTCTCGAATTGTTTTTTTCGCACTAAATAAAACACTTATTTCTACATTATGACATCATTTGCGGGATAAGACCGGTATTTCTATGCAAGAATAACTACTTGAGTAAGTCTTGAAATACATAGAATTCAACAGTATCGCTTTATCCCAACTACATACTTCGAAAAACGACTTTCAAGGATTTTTTTAATATTTATTCTAACAATCTCATGACAGTCGATTTTATTAAAATTACTGCAAAATGCAGAACTAATTTTCATATTCATCATCCAATCACAGAACTTCTACTTACCGTCAGGCTGTTTATTGCTGTCTCTAGCGTTGAAAGGATTGCTATCAGGATCTCTGTGGAAGGTTTCCTGGGCTTGAGCCCGCAGTTGATCCATTAGGTCTGGGTTGGTTTCTTGTAGCTGTTCACCAAATCGCTGTGCCCTGATAAATTAAATAACGTTTTATCATACAAAAATATTACCATTCTTCTCTCACATGCCTGCACAGTGTTGTTGAAACTCCCAATCTCCCCAACTTGCAGGGAGAACCTAAGCATCAATAACTTTTGAGGTGCCGACGTAAATCGGAAGTGAAATTTTACTTCCGGTTTGCAACAAAATTTTGGCTCGCCTCGAAATGCGTACGCGTGAAATCCGTCCATCACGCTCGCGCATACACACTTCGCTGCGCGCCAAAATTTTGGCCCAAACCGGAAGTAAAATTTCACTTCCGATTTACATTGGCGCCTCAAAAATGGTTGATGCTTCTTTCTCTATGAGCTCTCATAGCTGGGGATTTTAACTATGTTTAAACAGCATCAATAGACTTCAATCTTACGCTTGGAAAAGCTGACCCATTCCACCTCCTCCACCTCCTCCACCTCCCATACCACCACCAGACCCTGGAGCTCCTCCRCCACCTGTCATCATGCTTGACATCCTGTAATAATATTAATTAAAAATTAATACAAAAGTTGACAATTCATGCAAATTGCTGATAATATTGATAGATGAATGTTGTGGTTCAAATGTCTGGCTGTCTTGAGCTTTGTCAACATGTATCATACCATTGTGAGATGATAAGATGATAAATAAATTTATTATAATAATAATCATTGWAGAAAGCAATTTTGCAAAATTAATTGACGTCTACTTACATATGCTGCATTTGTGGGCTTGTCATAAAGTTCTGAGCCTGAGAAATGTAAAAGAAATTTAGGTAACTGCCAGTGTTAAATCTAAGACTCTGTGTTGCCACCCAAGCCTTACCATGTTCATGATTGCTGGATTTGACAACAGRGAAGCAAAGTCCATGGACCCAACACTTGATAATCCTGAAAATAAACAAGTTACAATTTTTGTGTCAAATTTTAACCATATGTACTTATTGACTGAGTGGGAGGGCCGTACGGGAAAATATTTGGCTYGAGGTTATGACAAATGACCGAGAGCCAAATATTTTCCCGTACGKCCCGACCTAACTCAGTCAATAAGCATTTTATCATATGACAGCGTTTTTTAATGTAAAAAAATAAATAAAAGCGCGCGGAACTTCAAGCCGGGAAAATACGGGTTTGTACGGACCTATCGCGAAAAGGCGTACGGACACCATCACGTGACCATTTTCCAAAGGTTTCAGYGAGAGCRCACGTAGGGCCGAAATACGRGTCATATGATAAAATCTTTTACTAGTCTGGAGCAATGTTACAATGGCAAAACCAGAAATGAGGTAATAATATATAATTTTATAAGTGGCTTATCCCTGAGTAATATTAACAACTTCTGAGCAAGTTCAGTTTTCCATTATTGATTAATCATGTAATATTCTCTTTCATTGGATAAATGTTAATACCTGGGCCAGTATTCGGTAAAGGWCCTCTTGTCTGCCCTAGGGCTTCTTGTATTTCCCCCAAGCTTYTTTTGTARAATGCATTATCTGGTTCTAGCTCAATTGCCTGTGTTTGAAACACAATTTAAATGGCAAAAAGGATTGTTAACCATGCAAAACATTTAAAATAAAGRTTCACAAGTTAATGAATTATTTCACAGATTTTCTGTATCTCACTGTTATCATGTAATTTGAAGAAATACCTTTTTATAGCTCTCTTGAGCTTTTTGTAGGTCATTCATATTTTGATAGGAGAGACTATTATACACAAACAAAAAGTCGATTAGTGATTTAAAAGAATAAATGAGGACTTACATGTATCTTCAATTTAAAATARCAACAGTAACATATTAAATAACGTACCCCATTCTTCCATATGCCTTACTGTACTTAGGGTCTAATTTAAGAGCTTGTTTACAGTCATCAACAGCTTTTTGATGTTCACTTAGCTTACTGTATGCTGCAGCTCTGTAACATAATGGCAAGTACACAAAATCATGAAACATTTAAAAATGTGAAAGTGAAGTGAAAAGTGAAATGATGACAGCATTCAATCAAACAATATTATCAAATATACTGTAAGGGATCAATATTTATTTACTCAATTAATAATCGTAGGTTGACTATCTTGCTGATGCCAGTAGTTTTGCCGATTTCTCAWGGCAGTTAATTGAGGCAATGGAAATTTRCTGCAGTTTCAGTAAAATAGAGAATGGATGATAGCTGTTTTTACCTGTTACAAGGATATACTGGGTTTGTGTTGTCCAGTGCTATAGCTTGTGTATAACAGTTTATTGCTTCTTGAAATTTCTCCATTCTCATGAGATCATTTCCTTTCAGATAGAAATAAAAAGTACACGAATTTAAGAATTGAATAATAAAGAAAAGTGATGTCCACTTATAGCACTAAGCAAATTAAAGCAAGAAAACTATGTGAAAATAATTGTACCCTCTTTTTTAAGTTCCTCTGCTTTTTCTCTGTCTTGAGCTGTAGGCTGCATAACTGAAGTTGTCTTCAAGGCAAGTATTTAAAGTGAAATGATATAATTATAATAATTGGCCATTCCTAAATTCAAAAGGAGACTGGGAACGAGTGTGAAAATAGTACATTCATCGAAAACTGAACCTCACCACATGAAAGACCACACTACAATTAGTGTTCTTGTCAAGTTTGAGCATATTTGGTTGAATACTTACCTAGTACGAATTTTTTCCAATTTTTAAAAATAAGAGAGAATGTATGGTTTTTGGGGACGCTGCTCAAAACCTCCATACATTCTTTGTAATTTTTTCGAGTTTTAAACGCTTAAAACTCTGTAATTATTAATTCAAATACAATCAAACTCAACAGCCTTACTGATTTTAGTATGCTCTTTCTTGTCCTTGTGTCTGTTTTTTGATTGCTTCAAATGCTATTGAGTTTGTGACTAGTCACCAGTCCCTTTTGAATGTCAGAACGGGCAATATATAACTTGAAGATACAAGTTCTTTCAGGTTTTGTACATTAAAGTCCAAATCAAAAAGAAACACAAGGCATAAAGTAAAAATAGCATAGGCTTTTTTTCACTCAAAAGGAATTCACTGATTGTTTGTGTTGACCGTTCTTAAAAGAAAAATGACTCTTTTAACTTTTGCTTTCTTCTTTTGTTTTGCACAAGGTTATTGGATTACATCTTCTCATCTTCCCATCCCCAAAATAAGACAACCATTAAATAAGCAAACTAAAACAGAAACTAAATAYAATAAAATCATACCTTTGATGTGTGTCCTTTATCATAAGAGTCAAATATTTCTTGTAATGATTTATCAACTTTTAATGCCTCCTTCTGATTTTCGTCATAATTTTCCACTTCAAAAACTTGTTCCAAACATTGAATGGCAACTTTAGAAAAGAATACATTCAAACAAAATGATCAAACAGCACCATCAAGCTAAATTGTATTAATTCAGAGTATCTATGGTAAAGTTACAGTACTAGTGTTTAAATATATGCATTCATGCTTCAGGATGTCAGATTTAACAGTAGAGGACTGGAGGGGTCACAATTCTTTTCATGGAATATATAGTGTGGAGTAGGTTTTATGACTATTATATTTAAGGTGGTTATGATGATTTTCACAAACTAAAAACCACACAACCTAATAACTAATGAGTGGTATGTAAATAGCCTTGTTCACAGGAGCAACATGAGAWAAGGAAATGCCATCAGAAATGCAAGAAATGAAACTTTTTCTTCATTTTCTTGTTTCTTTCATTTGCATCTGTTTGGCATTTACAACGTGTGAACTGGTACATTTGCACTTGTGCTTGTATTTGTGTTGCTCATGTGAACCAGTTTTAAGATCATCAAACACAATTTTGGATGTCCAAACACCTTCAAACTCAGTCCAGCATGTTTGGTGCTCCAACTATCASATTAAGGTGATTTCCTCGTCTGACTAGGGATGAATATTGATAAATGAATCTTAAACTATTCATTAAAACCGCAAAAAGAGCTTCCAATGCAAACAATTTGATCGAAAAAGACTTGATAGAAAACAGTTAACAAAACAAACTGACTTACGAGAAAGAGGAARTGAACTCACCCTCTAAAGTCTCTGCCTTTTCACCAGACGAGTCTTCTAAACATCGTGATAAATGATCCAGAATAGAGAAAGCTAGCTTTACAGAATTAGACATATTTATAGACACCTCTGCACAAGAATTGATGTCACTTAACAGTATTTCGCTTTCCAAGTTATCAAAAAGTAAAGATGAAAGCAAATCGTCAACGTTCCAATCGTTGCAAAAAGTCAACCATCTGGTTAAAACCTTCAAGGCGTTCCTCGGTGATGACCGAAAAGGACTATGAATAWAACCACAGGCATCCCAAGAACTCAAAATTCGAAAAGACCACATTTRTTTACTTTTCAGACTTTTGTCCTTTATAAGTGCGTACGCACTAAGTCTTCGTTCACACGGAAGCGTGTTTGTGTGTGTTTTTCTTCTTTTATTTGTTTTCATGAAAAATGGTAAAAAAGAGATGAAAAAAAGAAACAAATATATACTCRGGCCTGAGGACCCAAAGTCAGGCCTTGACTGATCACTACTACTACGCTACTACACAATAGACTAGGTATCTATTTTCTGTCAATTGTTACTCACTCCAAKTTCAGTTTAGTTCTGGGAGGAACAAACAACAGAACATTGTACASCTGGGTTTCTGCAGGTCCTACATCATAATTTTAATTAAAATAATAATAGTAATGGGCTCCTGACTCAATTGTATGCAATTCTAGGGTAGCCAGAGATTGATTAAGTAAGGCTTCTAAATAATTGCAGCAGTCTTTTTTCCAACAATAATTTTATTCAAAAATACATAAATAATTAATCTTTTATTACTTTTTGATAAAACTATATCTCTAATTTTGACGGTTTCGATCCAGGTGTATATATGACAGTTCTTTGAGGTGCAGAAGGGTATAAAATAAACAGAGACAGCTGTATGACACTTAATAATACTCCTAGTGCATTTGGTAGCTGAAAAAAAAAACATTGGAAAACTCATTAATAATAACCATTCATTGCCTTTGTTACAGTATGCAATGATGCTCACCTTAATGTAAGCATCTTGTACAAGATGTCCATACATGAACCATTGCAATGAAACAACAAAATTAGCAAGACACAAAGAAAATGTCAGATATTCTGTACTTTTCTGTTTCACAACTTGTGCCTAAAATATCAACAGTATAATATCATTACCAGATGATATTATGGAAGAAATAAAGGAAATGATGTTGTAWCAGCAGGTATATTCTTGAGTTCAATAAAAAATGATTGTATAAACTTAAACACAGAAGCAAAATTATATTTTTTTTATTGATGCAATAGGGCACATATTTTTGAATAATTATTTATAACTTTAATTATTTAATAATTCTTTATTGCTAGGAGACTTCTGTCAGTGAAATTCAGCTTTAAAAAATAATGAGATGATGTGACCTTAGCTAGTGTTAGGCTGTTTGGGGATCATAATATATACCCTTGTACATCATTGACCACTGTGTTTAAAAGCTGATACAATACTGATGAATAAAACATCAGYACTGAATATGAATATAGCTCTATCTATGTGGCTAAAACAAATGAATTTAATGTTAAAACTGCTTGTCTTACCAATGATACAAGTGGTGAGCCATATACTGCAACTGAAAACCCACTACATATAAGTCCAAGATGYCTAATCGCCGTTTCAAGATCTTCAACATAATACTTGATATATGATAAAACTGACGTTACTCCTAAAAATGACCATAAAATTTTTATTGCAGCACTTCTCTGTAAGAACAAACAAGAAGTTATATTAATTTTTCATACTGTAYATCTTATTGCACAATAAAACAATTATTATTGTATGATAAACAATTCTGCTGGTTGAAGGACCATGTACGATAAACTAGTCTAAYGATTGGATTTCTTCTCCGTTTATTGACAACACAACTTTTCGCTCAATCTCTTGTGCCTTGTGAATTCTCAGACACTCTCACTGCACATGTGCACAATTACAAAGGAGAGGGGTAGGTCATACATTTTGTACAATTATTAACATGTATTATTTTTGCTTGCCCCCTTTAAAGGCAACCAGTAGGGTTGCTGCTGGCGAAGGAGACTGATATATAACAAAACAATGATAAAGCCCTAAGTAACAATAACTTCACTTACTTTTTCTCTTGTGTTGATATAATAAATAAAAATATATATACTTTGTGAAACCATTCCTGCACCGCTAACAAACGTTATTGGGAAGTCATCTATAAGAAGTCCATATTTTGTCCATAATATACCACTAAAATGTAAAAGAAAAACAGGTTTATTTATCACATGAGTTTGAATCAAGAGCGATAAGTTTAGTGTTCTGCARTAACCTATCAGAAGAAATATTATGACTGCAATGCATTTTCAACAGTAGTCTACCGAGCGAACAGAGTGTTATTTACCTTACCTCACAAAAAATTCATGAAGGAAATATTTCCTTTGCAAATTTTTTTGTGAGTTGAGGTAAATAACACTCTGTTTGCATGGTAGTATAATATTATTTTTTATGTTGGTGCAGTTTACCTCAAACAACAAGCAACAAAAGGAAATAATGCTATATGTCCTGTGTTTCCACTTCTGATTATTTTGAAACATACTTGCCTAAAAACAACAACGAAGCAGCAGTATAAGAATAAAAAATATATAAAATTATTTAAACCCTTTATGCTCACCATAGGGAGCTATTKTGTGGTTACTCTCCCAAAACAACCCATTCCCAAATCCCAACTGGCAAGGACACAAGAACCAGTTGTCTGACATCTTGTAGTGCAGAGAAAAGGAAAACAATGAACACTTAAGCACACAACTTAGTGACAGTCTCCTGTCTAGTACATCTGTGAATAGAACTGACCAATCAGCTWCAATGTATAGTCTATCTCTACCTGAAATGCAGCATGGGAAGTGAGATCTGTGATACTAACACCAGGACATTCAGTTTACTCACTTTCTATCTCCCTGACTACCTACATAGTTACCAATCCACTTACAGGCACATCAGACCTCTACTCCCTGATTACCCCAGCAACAGATTGGTGGTTATATTATAAAACTAAGTACTGCACGGAGCAAAGATGACCTTCTGGTACCCAACTAAACCACAATGCAAAGCATCAATAAAGTTTATTAAATAAATTATTAAAATTCAATCTGTTGCTTTGCTTTTTGGTTTGTTTTGCTTAGTATAATGTATTCCATACATGAACAAGCTAACTATAATATCTTAATCATTCTATCACTAACATTTTGGGGCAGAACAGCTGGGATGACTATAGCTTTACATAATTTTTCAAAAATTCGCCAGAAATATGGCTAGCATTAACTAAGATACAGGTTTACAGGTGTAGCCTTGCTAAACATTTCATTCTATGTGGGATTTTTATCTCGTATTTACTATCGATTTTAAGCGATATTCATTTGGACTAATATGAAAGGATCTGTAAGACGACACGTAAGCGTTCATTTAAATATTTAGAAATTACTGTCAAATTTTGTAAATGACGTAAAGAAAAGAGTTTAAAATACAGAATACTCACGTGCCCGTTAAGAGAAGACCAATCTGAGAAACTGTTGCTGTCCAAGAAAGTATTAGYTTGTAATCCATCGTCTTCTTCAAAGATTCCCTTGTATTCTGGCCGTGAGAATAGAAAAGACTGGGAATGAAAATGAATTTCAGTTCGTTGGTTTGCGATCTTTTGCAAGTAAGACTTTGATAACACATGGAAAGTAATAAATATAATATTATTTTATTCAATTTATAATTATAATTGTTTGTATATTTTTTGCGGTGTTGATGAAGGGAAGGTATCGGTAGCGAGAGTGGGCTTCCTATGTTGGCGGGAAGAACGCCTGGCTGAATTATCAAGAAGATGTCATGAACTGTTAGATTTCCACTTTATAATGTCTCAAACAGCGATTTTTGAGGCRAAAAAGTTTCTCCGAAGGGAGATAAAGAAGTGTTTATCTCAAATGATCTCAATGTGGTGTGGATGAAGGGAAGGTATCGGTAGCGAGAGTGGGCTTCCTATGTTGGCGGGAAGAACGCCTGGCTKAATTATCAAGAAGAAGATGTCATGAACTGTTAGATTTCCACTTTATAATGTCTCAAACAGCGATTTTTGAGGCAAAAAAGTTTCTCCGAAGGGAGATAAAGAAGTGTTTATCTCAAATGATCTCAATGTGGTGTGGATGAAGGGAAGGTATCGGTAGCGAGAGTGGGCTTCCTATGTTGGCGGGAAGAACGCCTGGCTTAATTATCAAGAAGAAGATGTCATGAACTGTTAGATTTCCACTTTATAATGTCTCAAACAGCGATTTTTGAGGCGAAGAAGTTTCTCCGAAGGGAGATAAAGAAGCGCTTATCTCAAATGAGCAACGAAACCAAAGAAAAACAATCCAAAATAATATGTGAAAAGGTAAAGTTTGAAAACATTCCTCTTGGACCTCTTTAATCTCGTTGCTTCGGTCATCTAGAGCTCCTCGTCATGATGTAATAGAAATCTTCTTGTCCAGCAATTCTTTCTTTTACTTAGTTGCTTAGTAGTGAAGAATATAAAGCAAGCAAAAGGATATCGGTTTATCTCAGTATGCCATCAGAAGTGAATACTGACTTGATTTTAAAGGTAATTTAACTGATTTATTGATTGGAATATTTCAASTACTGTTTTGCTTAATGATACATTTTGTTTTTGTTCTAGGATATTTTTAATTCAAAAAGGTGATTTTTGCATTTTCAGACAGTAAGTTCTTGGCACTATTTAAAAAATACTTAGTTGTTATGTGTGTCTGTTTTGTTCCATAAAGAAAGTGTTACATTCCAAGATATATTGGTCCTACRATGGATATGTTGCTACTTGATTCATATGACGAGATAAAATCATTACCACTGACACCTTGGAATATTCATCAGCCAGCAGGTTAAGTGATATTCACAATATTCCATACTGAGGCTTAGTGAACACGAACAAAGCATTGAGCCAAGGTATCAATATACCTTACTAGGCATAAAAGAAAAGATCTGTGCTCAGTGTTCCTTGACATCTCAGTTCAATGCTTTTTTCATGGACACCGAACCTGGGTATGCAAAGTCATGAATCTATCACACAAATAATCTATACCAGTTCACCYCCACCTTTTATTTAACACATTAGTATTTTATTTTTTATTTATTGGGTAGTTCCAGAATTCCAAAAATATCCATACCTCTACGACGGGCGAACCCCCCCTCCTCCCCTTTGCAATTCCAAAATGCTGCCCGTCGTAGGGGTATGGATATTTTCTAGAACTACCCTTTCTACTTGTTCTCAGATGATGATATAAGAGAAGAAGCAGTATTAACTGGAGGACTGGATTTGATTGTTGTCCCAGGTCTTGGATTCACAAAGGTACCATTATYCTATGCCAAGTTATCATCAGTATCATCAGCATCATCCTGATGACATTATTGCTACAAGCTGGTACCATAATTTTGATTATTAGAGCTAMAATTCTCATTATCATAACATTGAACCTTTCACCATCAGCATATTCAATATTAGGTCTGATACTACAGTTATTAACATTGTCAAAACAAGCACTCCATCACTTTTATCATCACAATCATCAGTATTTTGATCAATAAGTATCATTTTTTGGGATTGTTATTCCAGGATGGTGCTAGGCTTGGAAGAGGAAAGGTATTCAGCTGTAATATATCTAAAGGGCTGTCAATCAAATCATTTTGAACAAAACTCTACATTGCTTTATGAATRATCATTCATTTTCTGCCAAGCACTATTGGCCAATAACAAAACGAAAAAGGGACTGGGTCCGAACTTCAAAATCTAATTAAATARTGGTTTCAAAAATRACAACCCCATCATGTGAAAGAGAACCATATAAAAGGCTTACTGACTAAGTTTCATGGCGTTTGAACATATAGCAATAAAGTTACGGACATGCAAACCATGCAAAAATTACAACAAAATGTATGGTGTCCAGCCAAAGCGTCCAGCCAAAAATACATTCTTTGTAATTTTAGAAATTTTTGAAAAATTCTATTTCCATTTCTAATGACTTAAACATGCTCAAACTTTAAACTTTAGCTAACTTATATGTGTTTTATCTATTGACAACAGATTTCTGAAAGATTGTATCAATTCAAAAATATTCAGTCCCAGTCCCCTGCTCGTTTTGTTATCGGCCAATTAGTGACCATGATGATGATGTGTATGTGATGAAGATTTTTTTGTCAGGGCTATTATGATAACTATATCTTGAAGTGCATAGAGCTTTGTCATAGGAAGCCTCRTCTTGTAGGTAAGTTATTGCCACCTGCTTGCTTCTCACCAAGATGAGTTTTTAGATTATTAATTTTCATAATAAACAGGTTCTAACAGTGTATAAACATGAATAATAGCGAGTGATGGAAAARAATATCGGAATTGCAGTTGATACAGTTCTTGYGTATATTTAGGTCTGGGTTTCAGCAGTCAAATRTGTGACTCTATTCCTGTCACGGAGAGAGATATGAATCTAGACAAAGTGCTGTTTTATGAACAAGAGCAGGAAGGCTAAATTGTCGAATGGATGTGTAAATTTATAACAATTTCTAGATATATAAAGAAGTCTAAAAATCATAAAATGGTAAATGAAATATTAAGAAAGAAATAATTCTAACCAAAATCATGGCATTGTCACAACCAAACGCATGCGTGTTGTTGTTGTTGTTGTTGTTGTTGTTGTTTTATTTTTGTTTTTATTTTTTGTTTTGTAATTTTGTTTGCTTTTGTTTGCTGTTTTTTTTTTTATTTTCATTTAACTTTGTTTCATTTGAGTTTTGTGAAAAAGATTTTACTTGCCTTACAAAGAAAACAAGAATCAATACAGTAGACTTTTCTACGTTTTATGTCAAGTTTATTCCATCACCATTCTGCATTGTTTTACATTTGCACATAGTTGGTCAAGTATTGTTCAGTAACCCAACTCATTGTTTACAACACATCAAAAGAATCATCTACGATAATCTCTTTCTTAACGACTTTGCGTCCCACATCTCTTTCGATTCCCCAACCTTCTTTTAGTGCATGGCGACATGATAGAATCGCTCCTTCGCACCAGCCTCGCCTTGGGTTATACGACTCTCCAACGACGAAAATGTTCTCTYGTTTAAACGGTCTCTTTGCCCACTCACCGATGTCAGCCATAGAGAATGGTGTTCCTGATTTCTGGAAGTGCCTGGGAAACAAAGAGAAATTCAATTTTATTGATCCGGCTGTTCAGAATAGAAACATTTGGCTTTCTTTTGAATATTTTGTGTGACAAACAAAGACACCAATCGACTACTAAATTCGACATCAAAAGTGCTTCTGCCAACAATCTTACTTGACAACTATCAACAACAAGGCAGCCCTAATAAGAACGCTTACCATGCAGGGTCCCAATACTGATACTCCGTCTTGATCGGTTTGGGAATCTCGCATCCGTACTTTGCCTCAAGTGCTCTGTGCACTTCCTCGTCAATGTAGTCTTTCTTTAATTTGGAAATCCCATACCATCTCCTGGCACATTGGCTGTCCGTGTAGATAGTGTGCAACACGCCTTCGCCATTTTTACCGTAACCCCTGAAAATTAAAGGTTGACCTGTAGTAAGATGTTAGTGGCGGATAATCCAGGATATGGGTGCATGCCAAGGGGAGCATCGACCCTTCCCCGAGACCATGCAGTCTTCAATACTTTCTGCAATCTTTTACCATCCTTATCGTGTAGCACAAGACGTTAAAAACTGGTTAATGTTGTGACRCAAAAGGCAAAATTATTATCTAAGAAAATGACATACTTGTATAGAAAAAWAATTAACATTTTTTAGGAAAAAAATCAAATATTACTACTCATACCTGTGTGCCAAGCTTGCTCCAATGCAGTTATCCTGAGAGATGAATTGCTGTCCGGCTTTGATAGACATATTGTTGACTTTCACCTTTTCCCACCAGGGTTCCTTATAGACAGCCCCGCCCTTGAATGCTTCAATAGGCAGAATGGAGTCGAACTCTGCTGTTTTTTGAATTTTCCTGGCAACCCCTCCTCTTACTTTCCTAAAAGGTCCAGGTGGTACAGCTATGACCAGTTTTTTAACAATGGCATTTAGTCGTGGGGTTCGCACTATGTAGCGGGATCTTCCCCTTTTGAAAATGGCAGTAACTTCGGTGTTTAGGTAAATATGACCACCCAAGCACTTGACCTTACTTAGCAGGGTTTCTATGATCGCAGACATTCCTCCATGAGGCCTATAGTATTTTCCTGTCAAAGTACTCTCTTCTTTTACAAATTCAAAGTAGCTGACTGGGTCAACTAGCTCTTCAAAGTCCCCTCGATGAAACTGGAAGTTGGATAAGTAATTGACYCCTTCWGATGTAATCAARTCCGACGCGTACGTAAAAACCGAGGCATATTTATCGAGTCGATCAAGATTTTCTGGTTTTAAAATGTAATTCCAAAAATCAGCCTTAGTGAAACCGGCAAATTTAGGATGATTTTTTAGAGCAGGGTAAGCAATCTTGATGTCTTTTGTGTTGTTCGATACTATTTCTCTTGATTCGTAGAGGGTGGGTTCCACAAAGCTCCAGTCCTTRTAGGTGATGTTAAGCTCGTTTAGAAAGTCTCTGAAAACATATTAAAAAAGAATTTTTCTGTATACATAAAAAAAAGATAAAATATAGAAAGACAGAGAGTGAAAGAAAAAGTTCATTTTACGTAAAGTTAAAATACTGTATAAATTACATGTAAAAGAATATTAGAACAAACAAGAAATATGATATAAGGATATCAGATCGTATCAGTAATGATCATGACTGTGCATGCATGGGACTATGACTTTGCATATCAATATCAATAATTTCGTTTACATCATTAAGAATTGGTTATGATCCACTCTCCAAGCACCAAGTCCTAAAATTGAAAAATATATACATCGAATTATTGATATTTATGTCAGTTAAGGAAACATTTAGTACTCAGTTTTTTATTTACCAACGTCGATATCTGGAGCTTCTTCAAAACGGTGATCACGAATCCTTCCTCCAACCTCATCATCTTTCTCAAAAATACAAACTTTCGCATCTTTGTCTTCTGTTAATATTTCGAAAGCCATGTAAAGTCCTGAGATTCCACCTCCAACAATACCAACATCACATCGCTCTGAAAAATAAAGAAGTTTTCTTTAGAGTGTTCAAGCTACATGTATGTCCATGAAATACCATGCGCGGTAAATCCTCATTAAATAATAAATACTTGGTAGCAACAGACTTGTAAATATTATTTCGTGGACATATTCTAGCCGCTCAAATATTGGGAATTAAAAAACTGAGCAAATCTAGCTTATAATYTAGCTACTCCCGGATTTACAGTTTTTCTGTCATGCGCACATCTAAGGAACTTCGCGCCCGCAGCTGACACACGTTTTACCGATAACAGAATGGCCCTTGTTTCATATGCGTTATATGCCCTAGTTCTCATCAAGTATTGTTTGCTTTGTTAATGTATTTGTCTTCTCTTACACTGATCTGATCGGAAGTATAGTATAGTTTCGATATACTTTAAGTTTTTAGACGATTTTAGAATTTTAGGGCATCTAAAAACACATTATATGGATTTTATAATATAAGATGGTACTGATATCTGTTTCATGGGTTGTGGACCGCCCTAATGGTCACTACTCTAGCGTTTGCACTCTAAAAGTGAATTCTGTGATAACATATCAAGATTGATAACATAGTTAACGACAATCAAACCTGAGATTGTTATCTAGTGCTAATTTTAGTGGGAACGAATAAATTTTCATTTTTAACGACATACTTAGTTGTAACGTTTTTCTCCCAGGTAACTTTACCCCTACTCATAAAAATATATARTTAATAGTTCATAAACACTATACATACTCATTTCTTGGTAAGGTTTGTCATTTGCTGTCTGAGGGACCGGAACTCCTATGAAAAGAATGTATACTACAACTTAAGTAATATTTTCAACCAAACTTTTTTTTCGTATTTTTTAGCCATTACTCCCTCCGTTATGCGAGCAGGTAGTCCTCAAGCAGCTCTATCAGCAAACTGGCAAGTTGTTTGAGTCATGATATTGAAAGCTATATCAGACAGTTTAGACATGAACCCTCAGGCTGTTCGCAGTCTTTATTTAATAACTATATGAAAAATAATTTATAGCATGTGGAAAAACTATTCCTTGGTAAAGCTGATAGCAGAATAGGAACCTTTTGACTTCATGTTTTAGCATTGTTTGCTAATCCCTGTAGCTTGGATAAAAATTTGAAAAGATTTTCGTCACTTCATGCTCGCGGCGCTATATATATAGCTTAATAGGGCGGTTACAGCATACGAGTTGTGCGGAGTCAACTTCTATCCCGAGTCAAAACGAGTCACGAACCTAGAACGAGTCATATTCAAAATCATTGACGAGGTTCATGTTTTGTGAAAGATAAATTTTCCGGTGCATCTATACGACGAGACAGTGCAGTTTATGATCTTTCATCGAAGGAAATATGAATATTCATCCAAACACGAAACTTTGATGGTGAAAGTGAAGCTTTTGCAACTAAGTTAAGGTTTCAGCAACTTCCGCCTATTGACAAATATCAGCTTTGGACCTGGGACTTCCTTCAAAGCTTGAAATTTTTTAATTTGTGGGTTCGTTTCATCATTAATCTTGTGTACAATATATGTTTTTTTTAATATGACTCGTTCTTTGCTCGAAATTAACTCGTGACTCGCGTACAGTAAAAACCCGCGTATAAGAACCTAACATTTAAGAACCTATTAGGCTAAATTTTCACTATTAAGCACCATTCACATAAGAACCATCAGGCCGTAAAATTCTAAAACAGGTTCTTATTTTGAAAAAAAAGGAAAAATAATCTTCTCAAAATATAGAAAAAAATCTTCTCAAAAATATATTTAACACAGTCTGTACACATTGATTATAGTAGTTACAGCATAGTTACATAAAATTTTAAAGAGGAACTTTATCATTTATAGTGAAGGTTACAGAAAGGTTTTGATTTTAACAGTAGTGTAGTATTTTGCTTACCGAAGCCTCCAAGAATACTGTTATTAGACATAAAAGACCACATCATTTAAAAATTCTTACTTTTCTTCTTGAACAAAAGTTAAGAACTTAATTAAGAACCTAGTTAGCCTAATTTTACACTAAATTATTTATATAAGAACCTGTTGAGGCTAACTTGAAAAAACCTAGGTTCTTATACGCGGGTTTTTACTGTATTCGAAATGTGTGCTATTTCTACTACTTACCCGATGCACCACTAAGTATGGAAAAAATTCCCAAAATCATAAGCGAATGCATTTTTGTGTACGTCTAGAGAACTTGCTTCGAGTCAAACAATTACTACAAAATAGCCCCAAAAAGAATGTCTCTTTCAAGAAGTAAAATGAAACCTGACAGCTCTTACATCTGCACAGCTGCTTGAGCTCTGAAGTAGCTTCGCTCAAAGCCACCACAGATTTTATAATTGAACTCTCGAAATTTGCATTTCATTAAAAATGGGCCGGGGGCGTGGTTATAGTGACAAAAGAAAATACTAACTACTGTACTTCTAGCAAAAATCAATACACCTGTTAATTAAATGGCTTGTTTACATATCACCTCCTTTAACGCCTTTTGCTCTTATCTTTGAAAGCTTTTATTTCATTCCAAATAATGCTACATATCATTATACTGTRGCTGTGTTTACTTGTACAGTACATTCTAAAATATTTTTTTACATCGAACATTTTTATGTGAGTATTTMATTCAGCTTCCGTGTGTTGAAATGTATCCCATGTGATAATGTGATAAGTTGACATAACATAAGTCATCGATGGTATATCCCTAACGCTTTAGTAGAAACATAGTTTAATATAGGGGAATGGTTTGGATCAAACCTTTTGTTGTACWTCGATCTTTTTGTACATGTTTTGTACTTATTTTGAGGTTGAATCAGTTAAACCGTGCACAACTTTTTTCTTATGGACTGCAAAATGACTGACATAAACACCCTCTCTGAGACTATGAAATGAAATATTTCAATATTGGTTAAAAGTTTTTGTGCATTTTGAAGAAATAGTCAAAAGAATAATTTTCGCTCTGTTCTTTCAGATGTGACCAGTATGGCTAAAAAAATAGTTAAACAAATGTGTGCACTATCACGCTTGGATAAAAGTGCACAAAAACCTGTCTATAAGAAAAATACATCATCATTGCATTACATCTCCATTG